GTTACCACCACTTGAATGTTTGTCATGATTAAAAACGGTGTACAACCTGAAATAACTGTTATAAAACTGCCATCTGAATATTATTGATATATCAAACCATTCAAATATCTGAGAAATATTTTGCAATAATGTTGAATATCTATTTGCAGATAGCAAAACTACTTCAAGTATGCCATAATTCTCTTAAAGATGAAGCAGGATTACTCTCATGACAAAGCTGACAGGATTTGGAAGCATTTAATTTTTCCAATGTAAATCAAATCACATGAAAAATGAACCTGTAATTAAAGATAAACTTATGCCACTAGATACTGTCATAAATCAATTAAATAAATATTCTAAAATACTAACTCTACATTTAACTTAAAACTTATGCCTCAAAAAAAAAAAAAAAAAAACCCCAAAACCAAATCTTATGTCTCAACTAAAATTGAGGACTGCGTTGTCTCTCTCAGTTATCTCTGCCCTCAAAAGTAACTCATACCATAGGGGAGTTTCATTAATGAACACAGTAGGTGTGCTTTGTAATAAAAAGCTATGGTGCAATTAACCATGTTAACAGCATTCCTTAATTTTAACCTGAGGGAAGTAGATGATGAGACAGTAAATGCTGCTTCAACTTTTTAATTTGGAGCTCAGTTGCTCAACAGTAATCCATGGGTAGCAGCTTACTGCTCAGAGGAAATATTAGAATAAATCAGTGTTTACATCACCATAGCTAAATCAGAACTAAATAAGAAGGCTGGCTTAATGAGGTCACAGCCTGTCTATTCCTCAGTTTTCCCACCTCGGCAATGTGGACACCAATATTGCCTGCTGGGCTGTGGACTAAGCACTTAGAATGGATGGTACATGGTACTTAATGAACAGACAACACATTATTTTTTATTATCTCATTACTGTTTTCAGTACTCCTATCATGACTCATTTGTATGACAAACTACATAGAAACAATAGTCCTCCCTGTTTAAATAGAATGAAAATTTTCAAATAAATCAGACCATGCTGCACTCATTTGGCTACTGACGTTAGAATATTTCCAAAGTCAGCTACAGTACCCTTGAAACTGAGGGGAAATAGGAGGACTCATCTGTTGTAAGGAAATGGCACATTCCAAATCACGCATTCCAGAGAGCTAAGTCAACCTCATGCACATGTACACATAGAAGTACATGACTACAGATATGAACAAATATTATACTAATTACTACTCATTTGCAAAGTACTTAGGGGATAAAAGTTTACAATTCAGGCTACTTCAACTGACTTACTCTTCCAAGTTCCTATAACTGGAGAGATTATTTTGCTTACTGTTCAAGCACAAATACTGATTATAATTTGACCTTCTGCAAACTTCTTCCCTCATAAAAGCCTTTAAAACCTGGGCCCAAAAACTTGTCTAGATCAGAGTGGGCTAAAATAAAGGTGTTCTAAAGAGTTTGTGTCAAGAGCAGAACAGGGAGCAGCAGACAGGCCAAATCCAGGCTGTTGCATCTTTCTGTAAATAAAGTGTTACTAGAACACCCTATACCTGCTCCCTTTCATGTCTAAGGCTGCTTCTGCACTACAATGGCAGAGTTGAGCAGCTACTACACAGATCATTTAGCCCAGGAAGCCCAAAATAGTTACTATTTGGTCCTTTACTGGAAAAGTTTTGCCAATATTTAGGAATACCTTTGAAATTAAATGTCAGTTTTATAAGGGAATTTCAGCAATTCTGGAAATACCACAGATAGAACAAAGGGATAAACCATACAGGAGAGCTTCCCCTTCCTGCCCATCTCCAAATACAGTAAATTCAGAGTAGCCTCTCCAAATTATTTCATTTGCTGATACAAGAGTAAGGAATGGAAACTAAAATAAAGTATATACATTACAACAAAGATTCTTTCTTCTAAAAGAAGAAATGCTACTTTCAAGACTCAGGAACCAAACCTGCTTTATAAAACACACATTTGTACTTTTTAAACAGTCACCTTACCATACATACATACATACACACACACGCACACACACACACGCACACAGTTTATAGATTCTTTCCCATCTACTACAGTTAGAGTTCATTATGATTTCCAACAGATTTATAAGATGCAATTTAAATCGTAAGTGACATAACAACACTTTTGAAAAAAGAACTGATAAAAAAGATCCAAACAAACAGGTTAAGTAAGATTGGGAAGAGTATTAGGTTTTAGCGATCTATTCTCTGTGTTACACATAATCAAGGATGATCTGGTACTAAGGAATACAAAAATAGCAAATAATGTAACAGAGTTACTTTATATTTTGTTAATTAAATATGTATTTTGATAACCCATATACAATTAGACATAATGAAACTGCTTGGCAATGGGATTTTTAAAATTACTTGCTCCTCAAGTTTTTCTAATTCAAAAAATTTACCATAAATGGAAATATCACCCACAAACATCAAGAAAAATTGTGAAGAAATCATCAAAACACAAGATAGAAAGAAAACCATTATACCTTTAGAATTTCTATCACCAAAACCAAGTAATATAAAGATCAAAAAAGGAGCCCAATGAGTTACACATCAACTTCACTAAGCTTACAATCATTCACTACTTTACGGAAAATGAAACATTTTCCCAGTACTTACTACTTTTTGTATGCAAGATACTTTTATAATCTGAAAATTTTTCCTAACACTTCATAACACTACTGAAAACCAGAATAGATAACATTTCCAGAACTAGTTTTTTTAGACTGGTTTATCAATGTCTGAATCTGCTTTTAAAATAAGTTACAACACTTCAGAAAGAACTAGATTAAAAAGTCTGACTAATTATTTTAACTAAAATAACAAGACCACTGAAAATTATAAAGAAACATTTATATCAGTCATGTCACCATATTTTAGGATTCATCATTTTATGAGTAACAAATCTGCTTAACAGAATAACAACAAAACTCAATAAATACAAGGAAATCTAATCATTTTACAATTATATAGAAATAATTTCAGAAAATTTTTTAAAATTGAGACACAAATATAGTCTTCAAGCTTCTCTGTTGGGGATTATTTAATATTAAATTATATCAACATAGAAATTCTTTGAATAAAGACATATTTTACTGTTTCCCAGGACCATGCCCACTTGTCGGCAATAAACTTGAGCTCCAGAGGTACTTGTACAAAGGTGCTTCAGGGATTCAAGGTTCATCCTTGAGTGTGTTCTGCCTGAAATGTATTTCTATCTAATATATAATAGACCTTAAGTTAGACCTTAAACATTGGCTTCTACTAATAGTACTTTTATATTTTCTAAGTTCAAATGTATTCACAAAGTCCTTATGTGTACACTCTTTCAACATTGAAACACATACAATAGGAATTCAATAAATTCAACAAAATTCTATACCTCTAATAAACAATATAAAAAATTCTCATTTCATATCTTAAGCATTTAACATGCTACAAATCATCAGACAGAAACACGAGACACAAAAGAATGGTGAAATTGAATCCGAAGTTCTTATAAAACAACACAGGCTAGAAACTATTTTATTTCTGTCAAACAATGTTATTCTTGGAAATAGAATATGAACCAACACGGTAAGCACTTGAAAAATGATTCAAAATGTAAAATGTGAATTAAATTTTAACTATTTATAAAGACAAACAGAAATAAGATAAATGATGGTATTCAGCAAGTTGATGCGGAAAATTCAAAGAGCTTGCTCAAATACACTGTATTAATTATAGAACAAAATAAACCTGAATGTTTTCCAACTCTCTCAAGCCTGCCTGAGGTCTTCAATAACCCCATTACAATCACACGTATACACACAAGACCTCTCCTTCCCTTTGTAACACTGAGGATTTTGTAGCAGTTTTCTGTTCTTCAACCAATCAAGTTCCACTTGCCAGAGGACAGACACATGGGATGGGACCAAAGGCAAGGGGAGTAAAAGCAAAGAGCAAGTGGAGGGAGAGAAAAGGCAGAGAATGGAAAAGAAGGAAAATACACTCCAACAGATATTCACAGGGTCTTCCCTGTTTCCTTCATGGTACTGTCTCAAGCTTAAGACTCTCTGGGAAAAAACCCTCAGCTCTGACTCAGACCTCTAATTTCTCAACTCTGTGGTCATGGCCAGGGTGTAGAGAGAAGAGTGAAGAAGACCTACTCCCAAAAAGCCCAAGTTGGAACTCTGGTTTTGTACTAAAATTTTGCTACAGAAGGTGACTGAGTTGTAAGCTAGTGTTCTAAGATTTTAGAACTTCCTTTCTTTAAAAATATGAGTTGAGAGATATAAATGCTGTCAAATTTTTACAATCTCAGAGTTCATGGATTTTAGCATAAGACACAGCTGACCCATAGTTCTGACGCTGCTGAATTTTAGTAACATTACACACCAAGAAGACTCCCCTGCCAGGCTAAGGACCAAAGTCTGTGCAGTATTTCTTTGAGGCAAAATAAGAGTTCAAAACCGTAAGAAATTGCTCAAAAACAACCCTATCACAAAACGGATCAAGGTATTTCTATCATAATTATCTCTAGCTATATTACAAGGTAATTCAATGTTTTTAAGTTCAATGTTTTTAAAAAACTCATTTGTATGCTAAAAGTATCACCCTTATTTTATAAAGAGGGAAGATCTCTTAAATACCATTCCAAAGGTATAAAACCAGTTCCAGAATTCTCTAAAGCCAAGCATCTTTACATTCTTTTTCCAAAAAAGTACCTGTATGCTATCTAATGAATGAGACTTTACTATCACTAATAAAGTGATGGTAATACAGAATTATAAAATTATTTATTTGTAATTTACTATAAGCTTAGGTAGAATAAAAATTACAGTATCAAATAATTTTTCTAACTTAATTTCTTCAGTCATTTTATACCACACTGATTTTTGCTGCATTCAATTGATTAATTCAGGATCCATAAACTAACAGCACTAAGGAACACACATGTCGTATATATCTACTTATCAGCTGCTTTCAAACCAAAACTATAGATGTGAATACTTACTTATCAAAGCTATCACTATTTTTGATGAAGCTCTCCAGTTTTTCCTTGGCATATTCCACCACATCTGAATGAAGCTCAATCCCATGATTTATTCCAAAAGGACCTGCAATTGTAGCAGCAGCATTTTTATAATATACATATATGTGTATATATATATATATATATATATTAGTAATATGTCTTTTAGTAATATGTCTTTACAGAGCTCTTTTAATTTCTGCTCATTTATCTATCACAGGAGCACTTAAAGGCTTAAATATATGCACATCTGCTAGCCAGATTTAAAATGCTAAATGGAAATCTCACTACTTACATGGCTTTAATTAAAAATGAAGAAAAGAAAAACAGAAAGGCTAAGTAATAAAGAGTTCTCTCAAGAGAAAAGCTTATCTGTCAGGACAATATTGACGAAGAATAATTATATTCCTACATAAGTTCTTTACCATTACATTTTCATTTATCATTTCTAAAAATTCGGCAATTCTAAAACGCATGAAACCATGGGCTGACATAGATGCTGTATCTCACACCAACCCACTATATGTTAAATTCCTGGAGGGCCAAGATCACATTCTATGTTATGCCTTTTGTAGCTCCCAGTGTCTAGCAGAATGTGGCCATCGAGACACTTCACTGCAGAGCTGATCTTACTCTCCTGTTCTAGCACACTTCACACTTCACTTAGTATTTCTTTTTACCCATAGCCATGGATAAGTGACATCATAGGAATGAGAAAAAGACGAGTGAGCCCAGGTGATGGTCCTCAGATGGCATCCTGGTATCTTCGCTGAGAATATGACCTACAGGATTCACATTTCCTAAAACTTCTGTGCATTAATGCCTGCCCCATGAGACACATGAAAGTAACACACACACACCAACTCCTCTCGTTAGGCTAGTTACTTTTGAACTTCCAAAATTGAGCCGAACAGGGTTTTCCACTCTGTATTTTTGTTACATATTTTGTTATTTTGGAATTGGTCTCCTAGGAAAAAGTTTGAGTATGTATTTATTTTCTCTATCTTACACATACTTTCTGTATCTTAGGAACTAATTAACTCAACATGCCTCCTACTGAATGTCATTAAAATAAAATATAAGGTGAAGTTCTACTGACCTCTAAGATTTTTTTAAATAACAACAACAACAAAAGTCACCAATTAACATGTTTGAATGTTCAGAAGGCCCATGAAAAAAAAGTGATCTAGAACTACCTTAACTATAAAAATTAAACCAAAATATTTGGAGACTATCTTCAAGCCAGAATCAGATAATGCTTAACCTACTACATTTCTATCATATTGCATTTGATTAGTATTATTTTAAAAAAATAAATAAATAAAACTGGCTCTATTTGAAAAATTTATTCAGGTAAGGAGGTTAAATAAAAAAGTTATCCGATCCATCAAAATACAACAGATAGAATTAACTCCCTTTGCACTGTTTTTATGCTTTTAAATTATTCTGATGCAAACTTAAATGTTTTGATTTGTTTTTGTCTCCATATGATTGAACCGTCTTCATCTGAAAACTGGAACATCCATCTGATAGCATTTAAGAACCCTTGTAATTCCTTATTTTACCATAAACTGAGTCAAACAACACTTTTCAAAACTAAACTTACAGAAGAATACATGGTGACATCTCTTTTTAATTTATACAAAATCTGAATATTTCGATAACTTGAATTTCCATAAGGAATTAAAGAATGTTAGGAGCCACTGAATAAAGTTTTACTCATTTAAAAACTCAAAATTAGGGGCGCCTGGGTGGCTCAGTGGGTTAAGCCTCTGCCTTCAGCTCAGGTCATGATCTCAGGATCCTGGGATGGAGCCCCACATTGGGTTCTCTGCTCAGCAGGGAGCCTGCTTCCCCCTCTCTCTCTGCCCGCCTCTCTGCCTACTTGTGATCTCTCTCTGTCAAATAAATATTTAAAAAAATAAAAAAAAATAAAAACTCAAATTAAACCACAATTATTTAACATTATGTATATAATAAGGAAAATACTGTTCTATGAAATGAATTCCTTTAATCCTTAAAAGAGGTCTGTTTAATGTAAAACAGAGACTTCCATATTTTCATCATCCATTAAGAATCTAGCTATACTAATCAACTATATTTATGAACACAAAACAAAACTAGGGCTACATGGGTAAGAGATCAATGAAAAACATCAATACTGCTGTAATTTGAGGTTTCCTGTTAGGACCAAATGCATAAGCACTGCAATGAAGGTGTCAAGTAAAAAATCTGGAAATCATGGCTTCTAGTCAATCTTTCAAACTGCTTTCTTAACAGAGGGAGTCAGACCTTCAGAGTTCTAGATCAAAGGGACTACACAGGTGTTCATCACTTTTAGACACCACTGGTCTCCTTTTCCTTTCCTTACTTTCTGCTTATAGTCTAAAACCAAAGTGACAACTTCCGGAAATAAGATTAAAGTTCATTCAGAAAATATCCTAAGAATGTTTTTCATATAACTTGTTTTTTACATTACCTTAACATAAAGTGAAAATAATTTCATTAACATATAAAGGACTTAACAATATCATAAATAGACATGCAGAATAGACTATGTATTAACTTCTAGTGCAAAAACATTTATGATTTTTTGTGAATAAAATTAAATAACACAGAGAAGTACCTTTATCACTAATAAACAGTAATAATTAATATTGAAAAAATAAATCTAAAAGAATGCATTATTAAAAGGCAGAACTTAAAAAGCAATGTCACCAACATCTCATTTATTTAGAATGTGATATCCAACTAGAACACAGCAAGTGTATGATAAAAATGTAGTGTGATACTGTTTATTAAAACTCATATTTGACATCTATATTTAATAGAAAACTAAAAAAGCACACAAAGCTGCTTCTAAGGAAAGGAACTAAGAGATTTAAGGTGAGAAGGACACATTTCCATCATTACATATACCCTTTACATATAGTGTCCTGACTTAACTATACCTGTAACCTTTCAATCAAAAAATAGTAAGCTAGTCAAAGAGATGGGAAAAAACTTCAGTATGAGATTTTTCAAATTAATAAAATAGACAATAATTCTGACAGAAAGGTACAATGGAAAGGCCAATAGAAAAAAATGAAACAGTATCCAAAAGACAAACTTTGTCAACACTTTCTAACACCATCTAACAGATAAAGTGAAATTTAATTTTGTATTCAATAGTTTCCAATGCTATTTTGTATTTTCCAATGTGAAGTTTTTCTGTAAAATGATAAATGCATCATTTCTGTAATACATATTTTTTTAAAAAAGTACTAACAGTTGACCATTACCTTTAAAAGGTAAACATTAAAGAAAAAATTGAAATATACACAGTACACAGAAGTCAAAGTTTCTTAAGACAAATAGGTACTAGAAAAACCTAGGTATCTTATGTAATGTTAGTTGTGATTTTTAAGGCCAGCAAAGGCCTATTTATTAAGAGCAATAACAAATGTAACAAAATTCCAATATAATAAAATCGAGACTATTTTTCCTTTGTAGTAGTTGGATCTAATCTACCTCATTTATCATCTATCAGTCAATAATCAAAGCATATTTATTATATAAAGGTCAATAATTACTAGCTTTAGTAATCTATACAATATCTAGATCTTTTTTTTTTACATGTATGTTGACCCTATGTGACACCCAATACTCCAGCTTCCTTCTCTGAGGCACCCTGAAAGGCTGTTTTGAGTGTGGTATGCAGGTTAGAGCTGGCCTAAGGCAATCCAGGGAAATCAGGAGAGCTTCACACAACATTTTAATGAAGTTTTCAGTGCCTTCAGTATTTTGTTTTAGTAAAGCTAATTTACAGAACACAGCTACAGGCCAAAAAAAAAAAAAAAAAAAAAAAAAAATTCTTCATGATACCAAAACCAGAAGAGCTCTCAAGATAAACTAGTTTAAGATCCATCATTTCAACTGAGGACTCAGATCTACATTCTATGGAGTGGTGGGAAAGAGAGTGGATTTAAGGTTAGATGTCCTAGTTTCCAATCCTGGTTCCTCCTCCTATCGGCTGCATAATCTGAGACCAGTCACTTACCCTTTGAAGTCTTTCCTACTGCGTAAAATCAGTTCCTGGGAAAACCAAGTAAATTATGCTTTAATTTACATAGTGCTTTACACACTATGAAGTACAAAACGGGTACAAATTATTAGAAATCACAACATGCCCTCTCTTTGTATACAGAACTGATTAGCTACAGAAGCAAAACTGTAACCTCTAAGTAGTTCTCAACCCTGACTGCATACCTGGGAAATTTTAAATAATAATTAATGGTAGACTGAATTTGATTTGATTTAGACTGTAAATGCTTGGTTCCCCCCTAAGGAAGGCAGAGGGAATCTCCTAAGGTATGGCCCAGGTCCTGCCAATAACCTTAAATGCAGCCCAGGTTAAGCACACTAGCCACATCCTCCTAATATTTAAAATCCTTTCGGACTATCTAAATCTCTGCCCTCACTGGTAAAGTGTTACCAAGAGTTAATAACTGCAAATAAAAGCATTATGGATAAAACTAAGTATTTACCACAAGAGGGAGCAGGTGAACCAGTTTTTTGGTTTCTATGAAAACCAGTGTAAAGTTTCTCAGTAAGAACTGAAATACGTAATGTAATACTATCTTCTAGGAAGTTCCAATGATATTTTATTACTAATTTCAGTTGTATAAAATAAGGCATCTTTGGAAAGACTTGTAAGTTTCTAAGAATTCAGAGACAGTAATAGGTAAGCAGACAAGATTAGGTTTCACTCCTGTGAACACCCTGGAGTATAACAAAGAGACATACAATAGTGTGAAGGTAGGTAAAGGAAAGGGGAGTAAAAGGAATCAGCAAAAGATTAGGTAATCATTAACTAGATAAAAAGAAACAGATCTCATATATTGACACTTAAGATACAATTAATTTCTTATGGTTTCTCCATCCTATTATATTACACCAAATAAGCACATTAAAGAAAAACAAACACTGTCAAATGTTTACTGAGTCTGGCCACGTTAGCGTAACCATTCTGAAGCTAGTTGGATTGTATCCAAGATTAGACCAGGGACTTGGTTCTCTGCTCTCTAGGTTTAGGAAAAGCCTTAA